GTAGCTGAGGAATCTCCTTCCCATATGCTGTGGTTATTAAAGCTCCTTCTCTGCTCCTTTTACTTTTCTGCTTTCCACCTACTTACTGTAAATAAAACATTACAAATAATTCTTCTTGTTTCTTCCACTTTAATGTTCCAGCTGCAGTTGTTGTGGGCAGTGTCATGGGATTTGCTTCCCAACCTGGTTGTGTCACCCCAGCCCCACAGGGAATACCGTGCCCAGGAGGAGAGTTTGGGTTTTACTGTGCTGTGTCACGATCCAGCCTTTGCTCTTTCTCTGAACTGTACACAGCCATGTCAATCAGGAGTTGCTCAGCTGTGCTGTGTGGAGAGGTGACTGGTTGCACAGGGGGCAATCCATGCAGGGACTCAAGTGTTGCAATGCTGAGCATCACAGTAAATATTTTTTAGACAGCAAGAAAATCACAGAAACAGCAGCATTGTGACCCTCAGAGCTGAGTCAGGTGCATAAAGTCCCTAGACAATGCATGGGCATCACAGGCACCTTATAGTGCGATTCAGAAAAAACAGCTCACTAGGCAGGGAGCCAGCTAAGCTAGACAAGGGGAGATGCTGACAAGGGGAGGGCTGTCCTGAGCCCTTCCCCCCTCACAGACAGGTGCCTAAATCAGGGCTGCAGAGGCACATCTATCTCTGCTTAGGTACCCACAGACGGGAACCCAGCACCTGGCGTTTCTTCCTGGACTGAGGTAGGCACTTGCCTCGCTCCACACAAAATGTGTGTGGGGGGGGGAGGAGGTTTTCGTGATGTCACCCACCATAAAGCTTTTACCCTCTCTGTGGTTAGAGCACTCAGCTGGCATGTGGGACAGCCAAGTTCAGTCCTCCCATCACGCTGTCTAGAGTAGCTCACGAATGTGAGTACCAACCTCAGGGCAAACAGTTACAAACCAAGGCACAAACCCCATGCAGGTTGTGAGTTCTGTATTTAGATTTCATGACCAGGTATCAAATGTGAACCCCTCAATCAGTATATCAGCCTGAACGTGGTGTCACAGACCGTCCCCTTGAGTACTCCTGTCTATCTGGCTGTTTTTCTGCCTCCTCCCCTGCTGCATCTCCCTGCCCCTCCTGGTGGGGCTGCCACATTCCCAGCAGCAGAGTCGGGGAAGCTCCTGCACACAGTTTCTACGGTTAAAGCCACCAGCTGCTCTATCCTGGCCAAAGAGAACGGTGGAAGACATGGAACAGGAGACAGCCTCTCCCCAGACCCGGAAAAGCCATGAACAGAAACCTTCCCATCCCAAGCCAAAGGGACCAGGAGGTGGGAGCACTTATGGGAGAGCCTCTCCCTCACCCAGAGACAGGAAAGAGCCCCCCCCTCAGCCCAAGGCAAAGGGATGTGGCAGCTCTGATGGGGTGACCTCTCCATTCATGTCTTTGAATTTAATATTTCACACATGTAGAAATAGTCACCAGAACCCACTTGGTCAGAGTTAAGGGTGTTTGGATGCTGGGCACTGAGAAGGTTTCTGTCAGGGCCGGCTCTAGGCACCAGCAAAGCAAGCAGATTCCTGGGCTGCACATTTGCAGGCAGGGCCGGCTATAGTTTTTTTGCTGCCCCAAGCAAAAAAAATTTTGGCTGTCACCCCTGCTTTTTTTGGCTTTTACACATGTTTGCACTTTGCCGTTTTGTTTTGACTGTTTACAATTTTTAAAAAATGAAAACAGAGAATTTGTAGTTAGTGAAATAAAACAATTTCCTACTAGTGTAATTTTAACATTAAATTTTAACAAAAAGGGCTGGTCTACGGAGGGGGCGGGGGGGGGTCGATCCAAGATACACAACTTCACCTACATGAATAGCGTAGCTGAAGTCGAAGTATCTTGGATCGAATTACCTGGGGTCCACATGGCACGGGATTGATGGCCGCGGCTCCCCCGTTGACTGCACTACTGCCGCTCGCTCTCCTGGAGTTCCGGAGTCGACGGTGAGCGCGTTTGGGGATCGATATATCGCGTCTTAACGAGACACGATATATCGATCCTGGATAAATCGATTGCTACCCGCTGATACGGCGGGTAGTGAAGACGTACCCAAACACAGTTACAAACAATT